TATGATTACAAAATTTTTTCTTTGAAAGCTCTTAATGTATTCACAGGCACACAAACACAAGGATCATTAAGTTACAGGCTGGGTTTATTTACCATTTGCAGCTAGCTCAGATGGTATGGTGCTACTGAACAGCATTTGAATTTTAAGATTAAATAACTGAAGTTCTTCTCTCCCTGCACTCTTTCTCAGACCCAGGCATGCAAATGAAATTTTTCTCTGACTGTAGCAATGTGATTCTCCATAGAATGCGCTGGGATTAAGGAGGGATCCTTTTTAAAGACCAGATGTTGAAAAAGTTTCTATTAACAATAATAGGAAATAGTCTTGCAGAAGACTAAGGAGATAAAGGGAGTAAAGGGTTATGAAGAGAAGAGACAGGAAGTGAAGGATATATGGAGAGAAGCCAGGCAGAAATATCAGCAAGTTCTGACACTATTCTTTAAAAAAAAATTCACACTGATGATATGTTCCTTTGAAATAAATAAATTAATAAATATGATTATTTCAATTAGTAAAATGCAGAGATCTCAAAGAAAAGGTGACACAAGGCATTGAGTGATATAATTTAATAAAATGTCTCTGGTTATTCTGAAAATTTTAATGCTCTCTCAAAATTGCTAGCAACCAAAAGGAACTTGACAGCCATGTACATTGGAATTTCTTTTCCCTGTATGTTCATGCAAATTGTATAAGCGCATATTTGAATGTATATGCTGGTACTTATACTGGCCTTGAATGTGTTGTTCTGGGACACTTTTCTTATGTAATCTATTAATGCCAACATTTTTTTTCCCAATGCAATATGACCACCATAGTGTTTTAGTCTTAAAGAAGCTTGATTTCTTCATATTTAGTATTACATAAATGTAATGATGAAGCCCATTTTTGTCCTTCCCCAGGGCTGTCATTTAAAGTGGTGCCCAGCTTCCACATGTTCGCCCCATCTGTCTGCCTTCAAGTGTGCCTTTGTTCTGCAGAGGAAAAAATGGGCAAAGTGAAGATGAAAAACACAAAATCCACCATAGGTTGAAAAGTATTTGAATAATGCCCTTAAAAGTGGTTTAACTTTATATTCTTAAAAAAATAAAATTCAGATGTAAATAAGCTAAACATGACTGGATCTTGTTTCAAGAAAGGAACTAGTTTTTCCAGAAAGCTGGATATTCTTCATATTGCTCTCAAACCTTCAGGTTCTATGAGTTAATGAGTCTTAGAAAGTTAGGCCTGGGTAGTCTTCTTTATGCAGGTCACAGGGCTATAAGACACAAAGTTAGCTCTGGCAATTTGCATATTAGTTTACTTCATCAGGTTTTCTAAGCAGAGAATATATAATCTGCAATCAGAGTTCTCCTTCCTTCAGTTAAAATACATGAGAATTCGCATAAAATAAGTGAGCATTCTTTACCTATATTTCAAGGTCAATCAGTCTGGTAGATAAAGGACTGAATTCTGAAAAGAACATTTTGGTTTAATAGACCAATATTGACAAGGAATTGGGATATAAAAAGAATACCTACTATATTTTAAATTTACTGCTCAAAAAATGAAAGTGACAGCATGGGTTACAGCCATTCTTGATTCACTCAGCACAGGTGAAATGCTGATAAATGAAGCATCACACAACTTCTTTTGTGCTGACTTGCAAGGGAAGGCACTTAGCTTGTCCTCATGTAGATTTCCTCTTTGCATTCCATCTTGAGGATTTCCACAATGGTACAAACTTTGAAGGTGGAAAGCTGCTCATGTCACCTGCCAATTAGTCATTTAGCACAGGTTACCTACTAATGTTACATAAACCAAGACCAAGCTGCCTATGGGCAAAATGTGTGTAGATAAAAAGTCACATTAAACTCACAATTGAGAACTGCCAATAAGCTTTATAGATCTGTTCTAAGCAAACTTGTGATGAGAAATTTTAAATTATATTTTCTTATGTTACTTAATAGACTATTTTAAAAATTGGAAGAGGTTCTGAATCTAGACTTTGAGTATTTTCATGCAGTATCGTTCTTTTTAATACATCATTTGCTCTTTGTTGAGTGGGTAGATTTTTTATTGATTCTTTAAAGAGATTAAGTGTAATATACAATTCCAAAAAATTCATAGTGTTGTCCAGTTGAGAAAAGGAGTACACAGACTTTTGAAAATTTCAAAACAATTCTAGGGGAATCACTAGCCCCTGGGTAACGTTAGAATAAAGAAGTAGTTTCTGGTGTATACTCAATTAGATTAATAGAAATAAATTAATTTTATATTTTTGCATGGACAAAAAGGACTCTTAGAATCTTGTGGGCTTTAGGATACAGGATTGGGTGTCATTTTGTATGAAGATTGTGGAAGACACTGCAAGAGTTAAAGAACCCAAAATATAACTGATAAGCACATTTAAGGCTAGAAAAAGTAGAAATCAGATGGGCTTATTCTTAGATAACATAGACAGCCAAGTTCGTGATTGAGTCTAATCTGGATCATCTATAAATAATTTTTCATTCTGATTACAAAATAGGGATAAAACATACCTAATGAAAATAATTGTGAAAAAGGTCTGTGAAGGTTAAATTTAACAATAAATGTAAAATACTTGACACAGTGCCTGGCACACAGTAAGTGTGAATTATTGCTATTATTAATAACTATCCACTATTATTAATTACTAGAGGTCCAGTGCATGAAATTCGTGCACCAGGAGTGGGGGATTGGTGTCCCTCAGCCCAGCCTGCACCCTCTCCAATCTGGGATCCCTCAATGGATGTCCGAATGCCTGTTTAGGCTCAATCCCACTAGGATTGGGCCTAAATGGGCAGTCAGACATCCCTCTCACAATCCAGGACTGCTGGCTCCCAACAGCTCACCTACCTGACTGTTTGATTGCTCCTAACTGCTTCTCTGCTAACCTGATCACCCCCTAACCACTCCTCTGCTAGCCTGATCAATGCCTAACTGTTCTCCTGCTGGCCCAATTGCCCCTAAATGCCCTTCCCTGTTGGCCTGGTTACCCCCCCCCCCCCAACTGCTGTCTCCTGCAAGCCTGATTTCCCCAACTTGTCCTCCCCTGAAGGACTGGTTGCCCCCAACTGCCATCCTCTTCAGGCCTGGTCACCCCTAAGTGCCCTCCCCTACTAGCCATCTTGTGGTGGCCATATTGTGTCCACATGGGGGCAGTCATCTTGTGCATTGCAGTGATGGTCAATTTGCATATTATCCTTTTATTATATAGGATTATAATAATCTTTTTGCAATAAGTTTGGAGGTCCTGGGAATACTTCTGATAAGTGATGGTCCTTAAAAATTATAATGAGCCGAAACCGGTTTGGCTCAATAGATAGAGTGTCGGCTTGGGGACTGAAAGGTCCCGGGTTCGATTCCGGTCAAGGGCATGTACCTTGGTTGTGGGCATATCCCCAGTAGGGGGTATGCAGGAGGCAGCTGATCGATGACTCTCTCTCATTGATGTTTCTAATTCTCTCTCTCTCTCCCTTCCTCTCTGTACAAAATCAATAAAATATATTTAAAAAAATTATAATGAGAAAGTCTTCCTTCTGAGTTCCCCTCTAGCGAGAAGTGGTAAGGCAGTCCTTATTATTTTCCACTAGAGTGAGATTTTGCTCTTAGGAATCTCAAGTGGAATAGAGAGAAAATGGCCAAAAAAGGCTTTTGAACATGTAGTCTTGGAATCTCAGGGAAGCTGTCTCATACAATCTATGGCAAGATGCCTGGGCTATAGACATTTCAGGGTGCTTGGAAGCTCCAGTGTGGGAAAGGAGTCATCTCTTCTTCTCACAGTACATAAATTTTTGTTCTTCTCCCAGCTGTGTATAAGGTTACGGCCACTGAAATACCTGCCAGATATCTCAGCTGGCTGCATCCTCCTCTCCTATGTTTACACAAAAAGGTAGTGTGAAGCCTATAGGTGGCCCCTATAGCTACACCCAGTATATAATCTGAGTAGGGATTCTCACCCCCAAAAAAGATAACATTCCTAAATGACAGGTAATTTAGGGCAATTAGTGCTGAGAAGAGAGAGACTACACTAAATATTTTTTTTTATATCAATTCACTGAAGCTTGATAAATTTCCATGATGTGAATTCACAGTTGAACCTATGGAGTTGAAAATGGGTTTGACATTGAGAAGGCTGTGTTATAGGGAGATACAAATAATTAAAACTCATGATTTCTGCCCCCAATATATTTTCAATCTAGGTGATATACATATTTATAGTGCTCCCTGAAAAAAATTACACACACACACACACACACACACACACACACACACTGAGTGGCTAGATTGTTATTTTTAAATACATTTTATTGATTTTTTACAGAGAGGAAGGGAGAGGGATAGAGAGTTAGAAACATCGATGAGAGAGAAACATAGAACAACTGCCTCCTGCACACCCCCTACTGGGGATGTGCCTACAACTAAGGTACATGCCCTTGACTGGAATTGAACCTGAGACCCTTCAATCAACAGGTTGATACTCTATCCACTGAGCCAAACCAGTTAGGATCAGATTATTATGATCTCTGAATGTATAATAATCTGGCCATTCAGTGTATATTCTATAAAATAAAAAGCTAATATGCAAATTGTCCCCTTGACTAAGAGTTTGACCATGTCCTCCCCCTGGCCAGGCTGGCTGGACCCCAGCCATACATGAATTCATGCACTGGGCCTCTAATATATATATGCAGTTTAGAGATCATAATAATCTGGCCACTCAATGTGAGTATATATATATATATATATATATATATATATATATATATATATATATTTTCTAAAGTAATTCTACAATTTTAGGTACTAAATTCGTATCTTCTTTTGGACCTATTTGACATTTAAAGTTTCTATGTTCAAATTTAAATGCAGCTTATGCTCTAATTATTTACTTCCCTAAGATGAAATCACCTGTCTTTTCATCAGTAGGCTGGAAACCTAAAAAAATCTTTGATTCCTCTTTTTTTGTTCCCCTAAAGGCAGACATTGGCCAAATTAAGTATTATAGATGGTTGATCTGCAGGGTCTGTCTAGTATGAATACTTCTTTCTATTTTCATTTTTGCTTATTGCTTTTATCCCAAACTGTTCTCCCCATCTTCCATTTCTATTTGTTCCAATCCTAAACACTCTCATTGTTAAGATTAATCTTCCTAAGAAATTGATGTAAATATGCCCAGAAAGGAGAAGTTACCCTGCTAAAACTGAGCAGTCGGTATACTGGTAAGAAAAACAAGCTTTTATAAATTTGGCTCACCAGTGCTTTGTCACTCTTGGATGAAAGGATGTAGCTGAGTTTCTGAATCCTCTGTATTTGAAATATATGATGACTCCACTGAGAAGCATTGAGCCTCAGCCAGGACAGCAGTCTCCTGATATTGTAATGTTAAAGGAATAGGCATTTTGAGCACAATACTAACAGCAATTAAGTTTTTTCAACAACCCATTAAATATGCATAAATACTTGAGATTGTAAAGTACCTAGCACATAATAGCTGCTTTAATAATAATTATTCCTATAAATATTGTTATTGTTAGGGTCTCTTTGCTATTTGTATCTTACTCCTGAAACTGTAATATCAATTGGACCTCTCCCAAATGTTATCCTTTTTATGTCAGGCTCAAATGTCAACTTTCCTTTTTGCTTACAATCCAAAAACAAGTGAAATTGTAAAAATATCCCATTCAAAGTTGAGGAGGAAGGACCTTTTGGTCACTGACCTTGGAGTCACCTTTGACATTTATTTTTCCACTGGCACACATTAAAGAAAATACTGAGGCAGGTTACTGCAGGATAAGTTTGGACTTGCTCCTATAGCACCTCCTTATTTCTACTAAGTGTCCTTTTCCTTCTAGAGCACATGTGTCAAACACAAGGCCCGCGGGCCAAATCCGTCCCGCCAGGCCTTGCAATGTGGCCCGCACCGTGCTGTCATCACTGCACTCCGCTGCGTTTCCATCACAATGACAGTTTATGACTGTTCAGTAAACCATTTGGCCCGCGATTTAGGCTGGATTTTAGATTTTGGCCCCTTCTCTGATTGAGTTCGACACCCCTATCCTAGATTCAGGTCTTTGCAAGCTCCTCCTTTGCTTTTACATTGGAATGCTGTTACACTCTAGCAACAGCCAGACAACTGCAGGATCCTGACAAGCATTCCCAGGTGAGCCCGGGTTTGCTTTACTTTCATCAAGAAACCCAGCCCATTTTTAAATTTTGGGTAATTCTATATTGTTTTCTACAGTGTCTGCACCAATATACATTTTCACCAATAGTACCAAAGGTTCCCTTTTCTCCACATCCTTGATATCAGGTTGTTTGTTGAATTATTGCTGATAACTATCCTGATAGGTGTGAGGTAATATCTTATTGGGTGGGCCTCGCCAACACAGCCAAGGGTTTGGGGAACCTGACGGAGGGCAGTGAAGGATGAAGAAAAAGACAGGCAATGAGAATAAGCTGGGTCTAGGTGGATTTTCTGTGCCTGGCTGAGGCCACAGAACAATCCAGACTGCAAAGTTGATGCTTTATTTAGAATCAAAGGTAAAAGGTAATTTACAATGTTCTTGTAAGTTTCACTTATTTTGACAGCACTTGCTGCCCCTCCCACAGCCCATTAGCCACCCAGGAAAGATCTAGGGAGCAGTCACAAGATCAAGCTTAATTATGCTTAGAGAGCTTGTTTGAGACTTTGCCAGCAGGTCAGTCTGAGGCTTAGCCCTATAACTGCTCCATACAATTGGGGTTTTAATTTGCATTTCTCTGATGATTAGTGATGTTGAGCATCTTTCCATATGTCTGTTAGCCATCTGTATATCCTCATTGGAGAAATGTCTATTCATGTCTTTTGTCCATTTTTAGTTGAATTGTTTGTTCTTTTGGCATTGAATTTTATAAATTTTGGATTTTAATCCTTTATCAGATGAATTCTTGATAAATATGTTATCTTTTTCAGTAGGTTGCCTTTCTATTTTGTTGATGATAGTTTCCTTTGCTGAGCAAAAGCTTTTTAGTTTGTAGTCCAATTTGTTTATTTTTCTTTTGATTCCCTTGACTGAGGTGATACCAAAATGTCTGAACTTTTACTGCCTGTTTCTTCCATGATTTTTATGGTTTTGAATCTAACATTTAAGCCCATTTACCCCATTTTGAGTTTATTCTTGTGTATGGTGTACATTACTGGTATTATTTCACTTTTTGCACATATTTGTCCAATATTCCTAACACAATTTATTGTATAGACTCTCTTTACCCCAATGTATGTTTTTGTCTCCTTTGTTAAATATTAATTGACTATAAATACATGAATTTATTTCTGGTCTCTCTATTTGTTCATTGATCTATATGCCTTGTTTTAGGCTCATGTGATTACTATGAGTCATAGTAATCACATGTCCACACAAGTCCAAGAAGCACAAAGAGTACTAAACATGTAGTATAATTTGATATCGGGTAGCATTATTCCTCCAATTTGTTCTTTCTCTAATTTGTTGTGGCTATTCAGGATCTTTTGTGATTCCATATGAGTTTTTAGAATATTTTTTTAGTTATATGAAATATGCCAATGATATATTAAATGGAATTGTCATTCAAATACACAATGGAATATACCCAGCTGTAAAAAAAAAAAAAAAAAAAAAAAAAAAGGTAAATCTTACCCTTTTTGACAGCATGGGTGGATTTCACTTATATATGGGATCTAATGAATAAAATAAGCTAACAAACAAAATAAAAATGGACTCATAAATACAGAAAATAGACTGGCAGCCATCAGATAGGAGGAGGCTTGAGGGACTGGGCAAAAAAGGTAAAGGGATTAAGCAAAGAGAAAAAAAAAACTCATAGACACAGACACCATATATTGATTACCAGAAGGAAAATAGAGTGAGGGGACATGGAAGATGGTAAAAGGAGGATAAAGGCTGATGGAAGGAGACTTGACTGGGGTGGTGAACACACAATATAATAAACAAATGATATATTATGGAATCCTACACCTGAAACCTATACAGTTTTATTAAGCAATATCATTCCAAAAATTCAATAAAAAAGAAGCCCAAACCCAATTAAGAATGTGCTGGCAGAGTTGGGAAAGTGCTGCGATATTTTATACCAGCTACCCTCAAAGCTACTCTTGAGGCTAATTCTACTCTGGAGCAAGTCTGAAGCTCCTAGAAATTTTGCAGACATGTACTTGACAAAGGAATAGTAATCCAAATATAAAAAGAGTTCCTACAGTACAAAAATGCAAGATAAAATCCTAATTTTAAGGTTGAAAAATATTTAAATAGACACTTAAATAGACAGAGGAAGCTATACAGAGTCCAATACACACATGAGAATAAGCTCAAAAATGAATCAACAGAGGAGAAAAAATGTGGCGGCCAAATAAGCAGATGTGTTCTGAGCCTTAACACAGAAGAGATAGAAGGAGCATCTAAATCAAATAACATCCACCCGGAATTGAATTGGTGAAGGAGACACAGCTGGTGAGACAACTTGCAGCTGGGAAGGGACGAAGACACCTGGAGAATAGTAGGATCAGGGATCTGGGCTATTGAGAGTTGAGAGACCACCAAGCTGACAAGCTGAAAGGGTCAGAAGGAGGCTGCACAGCACCAAGTCCATGTCCCTTAGGGACAGGCATAGTATCTGACTGTGGAAAGAAAGTCTACAGGGCTGCAGGCAGCAGGAGATTCTTGATCTAAGTCCACAGCCGAGAGAGGCTATGCCCAGAGGGGCAGGCTGAAGAACTTCTTGAACCTCACGGTGCCAGGGAGAGAGAAACTCGCAGTGGTGCAGTTGTTTTACCTCTCTTTAATATTTGATTTTATTTGCTAAACCCAGTTCATAGAATATTTCAATTATAAACACTTACCTATGGCTGAAGTGCAGGTGGAGGTGCAGACTTGTGGAGTCTGGAAAGAGGTGTGGAGGAGAACAGGTTAGAGAGAGGTGACCAGGAGTCTGGCACTGAGTCATTTGTGACCCTCCAAATCTAAGCAGCCATTTTTTCTCCTGAAGATCCAGCTCCTTCCAGCAGCCTCAAGACAGCTAATACAGCCACACTCAGACTACACTGAGTGGAACAAGGGATACAAAAAATCTGAATAGCCCTGAAGAGCCCTCAGAGATTGGATTGAAGAGAGGCTTTTCAGATCCAGGAAGCAATACAGCACCCTCCCTCCTCCCCATGTCCTTGTCAGAAACAGAGGCTGGGAGACTAAGACCGACAGCAGGCAGACAAGCTAAATTGGTAGATTGGTCCTATCTGTATTCAGTTAAGGCTTTGGAGACAGACACAGAGGAGTGGTGGATCATTTGGAATTTAAACATGGTGCTGACTACCTATCAGGAAACAGAGAAGTGGAAGACAGAACAAGAGAGTGGAATCTTAAACCAGCATCCATGGGGCATTAAAACTTGGCTGAAACAAATGACACTTCAGTTTTTATTTTAGAATTTCTCTTTTTATCATTTGTTTAAAATTTTTTCTCTTTTTTCTGTTTTTATTTTTATTTTTTGTATTACTTTTTCTTCGTTTTATTATTTTTTATTGTTATTTTAAATTTTTATTTTTTTAATTTATTTTTCTTTCCTTCTTATCCACTCATTCACTTTCTACTCTTTTATACTGAACCAAGGTCCTCCCTTTATTCATTCAATTTCTTAATCTTACTATCTGTGTATAAGCTGTGCCTCTACAGATTCTGCGTCACTCTTACCCCCTTTTTTTCCTGGGAATTCGTTGATTGCATGTTTTGTTTTTCTGTTTGTTGTGTGGTGTTTTCTTCCCATATATATTTTTCCCTTTTTTCTTTTCTCTTTCCTTTTTTTCTTTTCTGTATATCATTTTTGCTCTCTTCTCTCTCTTTCCTAATTCTCTATTCTCTCATGGTCACTTCAATTGGGGTTATCGGTGTTGTGAGTACATTTGTGTTTTGTTCATTTGTTTCATGTCTTATCTAGTTGTAATTTGTGCTGTCCAGTCAGCGTGGTAAAGAGCAAGCCACAAAACCAGATAATCTGAGAGGAGACCCCATACACAAAAAGGATAGTAACACTCAAGACCAAACTATACAGAGATACACTAAATATTCCAAGTAGGGGGCATTCCTAGATTACCCAGTCCAGAAGACTGGCGAGATTGTACCAATGGGTCCCACAAAACATCAACTCTATACTCATAAGACAAAATCAAAAAAAATCTGGGTGGCATAGAAGTTTGATCTAATACATAGAAATAATCACAAAGGAACAGTAAAAAAATGGGGAGACAAAGAAATAAGCCCCATTTGAAGGAAAAGGAGGAATCAGCAGATAAGGAAATAAATGAAATGGAGGCAAGCAATTTGTCAGAGAAAGAATTCAGAGCAATAGTTATGAGAACATTGAAAAGGATAGAAGACAAGTTCAATAACATGTGTAACAATAAAGAGCAAATGAAGCAGAATTAACAGGAAATGAAGAATAATGTAACTGCAATAAAGAACAATGGAAAGTTTCAACAGTAGAATAGAAGAATCTGAGGACCTCATCACTGAGTTAGAAGACAGGGTCAGAAACCACCCAAACACAACAGCAACTAGAAAGAAAACTTAAAAATCAGGAGGAGAGCCTAAGGAGCTTTGGAAAACACAAAACAAAACAACATACATAAAATAGGGTACCAGAAAGAGAGAAAATGGAATAAGGAATAGAAAACCTGTTTAAAGAAATAATGACAGAAAACTTCCCTGATGTTGAGAAGAAAAAACACACACAAGTCCAAGAAGCACAAAGAGCACTAAATATGATGACCCCCACAAAGACCAACACCAAGACACATCATAATTAAATTAGCAAAAATCAATGAAAAAGTAAGAATCTTAGAGGCTTCCACAGAGAACATAAAGTCACCTATAAGGGATCTCCCATTAGACTATCAACTGATTTCTCAACAGAAACACAGGAGGCCAGAAGAGAATGGAATGAAATATACAAAGTGAAGCAAAGTAAGGGATTGAATCCAAGAATAGTATACCCAGCAAGGCTATCATTCAAAATTGAAGGTGGAATCAGGAGCTTGGTAGAATAGTAGTAAGGGAGTTTATTACCACCAAGCCAACAATGCAAGAAATGCTAAAGGGACTGCTATAAAAGAAGAAATATAAAGGGAAGAAGGCACACAGACATAAAGAATAAAAATATCAACAAGTAAGTAACTCAATAATAAACTTAAATGTAAATGGATAAAATGCTCCAATCAAAAGACATAGGGTAGCTGAATGGATACGAAAATTTGACCCATATATTTGCTGTCTACAAGAGATCTACCTCAGAACAAAGGACTTACACAGACTGATAATAAAGGGATGGAAAAATATTTTTAGTCAAATGGAAATAAGACAAAAGCTGGGATAGCAATCCTCATATTAGACAAATAGATCTCAAGGTGAAGGCCATTACAAGAGATAAGGAGGGCTACTTCATAGTACTAAAGGGAGCAATTCAATAAGAGGATATAACTTTGGTAAACATATATGCACCCAATGTAGGAGTACCCACATACATTAAAAAAAAAACTTTTGGAAGATATCAATGGAGAAATAGACAGCAATACAATCATAGTAAAGGACTTTAATACCCATTAACACCACTAGATATTCCTCTAAAGAAAAAATCAGCAAAGAAACAATAATCCTAAATGGCTCACTGGATAAGATGGAACTAATTGACATCTTCAGAACATTTCACCCTGAAGCTACAGAATACATTTTTTTTTCAAGTGCACATGGGATGTTATCAAAGACAGATCATATATCAGGTCACAGGCAAAGACTCTCCAAGTTCAAGAAGATATAAATCATATCAAACATCTTCTCAGACCACAATGGCTAAAATTTAGAGATCAGCTACAATAAAAAAAATGAAAAAATCAAATATTGGAGGCCAAATAGCATGCTATTAAACAATGATTGGGTTACCAAAGAGATCAAAGAAGAAAGAAAAAGCTCCCTGGCAAGAAACGACAATGAAAACACAACAATCCAAAACCTATGGGACACAATGAAAGCAGATCTGAGAGGGAAGTTCATAGAATTACAGGCCTACCTTAAAAAAAAAAAAAAAAAAAAAAAAGACAAAATGGTAATAAATTATCTAACCCTACAACTTAAAGAATTAAAAAGAGAGTAGCAAGAAAAGCCTAGAGTAAGCAGAAGAAAGAAATAATTAAGATCACAGTGTAAATAAATGACAGAGACCCCCAAAATATACAAGAAACAAATAAAACCAAGAGCTGTTTTTTTGAAATGATACTCAATAAATAAGATTGACGAACCTCTAGCCAGGCTCACCAAGAAACAAAGAGACAGGGCCAAAATAAACACATCAGAAATAAAGGAGGTGAAGTAAACAACTGAACCCACATGGAAACAAAGGATTGTTAAAAAAAAAATACTATGAACAACTCTACTCCAACAAACTGGACAATCTAAAAAAAATGGACATATTCCTAGAAAAATACAAACTTCCAAAACTCAATCAGGAAGAATAAAAAAGTCTGAATAGGCTGATAACTACTGATAAAATTGAAACAGTAATAAAAAACTTCCAGCAAACAAAAGTCCTAGACCAGACAGCTTAATAGGGGAGTTTTACCAAACATTCAAAGAACTAAAACCTATTCTTCTCAGATTATTTCAAAAAATTCAAGAGGAAGAGTTCCAAGCTGTTTTTATGAAGCCAGAATTACTCTAACCCCCCAAATAGATAAAGACACTACAAAGAAAGAAAATTTCAGATTAATATTCCTGATGAACATAGATGTTAAAATTCTCAACAAAATTCTCACAAATCAGATTTAGCATTACATCAGAAAGATCATACACTATGACCAAGTGGGATTTATTCTGAGAATGCAAGGCTGGTACAATGTCAGTGAATTAATAAACATTTTCCTAATATATAAAGAGCCAGGGTTTGTCACAACCGAAATATCCGGAAGGATGACCGAACACCAGACACTAGCTAGTGTGGTAGAAGTCAGTTCTGGATACTGGCAGCAGGTCCCAGCTAGCACAGTGGAAGTCAGTCGTGGATCCCAGTGGCATGGCAGGAGTTGGTCCTGGGTCCTGGCTGCCTATAGTGCAGCAGCAGGAGGAAGCTGTGGGAACAGAGCCATTCTGCCATTGGACTGGCCTCCCCTTGCCCAGTAATCCCACTTCTAGGACTATATTCCAAGAAACCAGAAGCACCCATCCAAAAGGTATATGCTTTCCTATTTCATAGCAGCACAATTTACAACAGTCAAGATTTGGGAACAGCCTTAATTGCCCATTAGCAGATGAGTGGATTAAAAAATAGTGGTACACCCACACAATGGAATACTAGACTATTATAAAAAAGAAACAACTTTTGCCATTTGAAACAGCATGGATGAACTTGGAGAGCATTACGCTAAGTGAAATAAGTCAGTCACAGAAAGACAAATACCATATGATCTCACGCATTTGTGGAATATAATGATCAACATAAACTGATGAACAAAGATAGAACCAGAGTCATAGAAGCATCACACATGCAGTCAAACCTATGAGGGAAGGCAGGGGAGTTGGCAAGCTAAGAGATCAACCAAAGGACTTGTATGCATGGAGATGAGCATATCCCATGGACACAGATGGTAGAGGAGTAAGGGTATGTGCTGAGGACTGGGAGCAGCCAATGGGGAAAAAGAAGACTTATGCAATACTTTAAACAATAAAGAATTTTTTTTAAAAGACTGAATCAACAGAAGAAAGCACATTAAATGGACAAGGAGATAACTAGAATGGCTAAAATGGGAAGGAAAAAAAAAAGACTGACAACTCTAAATGAAGAAAAGGAGCTACAAGGATTCTCATACATCACTGGTGATTGAATAAAATGGAACATTGTTGATAGTTTCTTAGATGATAATGCAACTATGACCCAGCAGTTCTTAATCCTAAATATTCATTTTAAAAAAGCCTTGTGCAAGAAAGTTCATAGCAGTTTAATTCAAAAACAGCACAGATATTCATCAATAAGATGAAGTGATGAATATCTGTGAACAAGCTGTGGTATTGTCTTACAATGAAATGTAATTTAGCAATAAAAAAGAATGAAATTTTGATCCATATAACAACATGGATTAATCTCAAAAACATGCTGAGTGACAGATGCCAACACTAAAGAGTTCTTACTAAATGATTATCTTTACATAAAGTTCTAGAAGAGGAGAGCATTATGCTAAGCAGAATGAGCCAGCATAATCACAATAAAAATGTTCACTTCTGGGGAAAAAGAATTGATTGGGAAGGAGCACAAAGAAATTAAAGTTTGAAAAAATATTGTCTACATATTAGACTATGAGTTACTCAGTATATGCTTTTTTTTTTTTTTTAACTATTTGTCTTAAATTTGGCTATTACAGCAAATTACCACAGACTGAATGGTATAAACAACATACATTTATTTCTCAAAATTATGGTGACTGGGATGTCCAAGGTCAAGGTGCCAACAAATATTAGTATATATCTTTCTCTCTCTTGCCCTTTCTCTCTCTAAAATCAATAAGTAAAAACTAAAGTAAAAAAGCATGCGCCCTTGTGTCTTCTCTTAAGGGCAATAATCCCTTTATGAAGGCTCTGCCCTCAAGGCTTAATTACTTCCAAAAGACCCCACTTCTGATATCAACACATTTAGGAATAGGATTGCAAAATCTGAATTTGGGGAGGACACACAAACATTCAGCTCATAACAATGATCAAACTGCCCATTAAAAATCTGTGAAACAAACAAAAAAGAAGGGAAAAAAGAAAAATAAATCTGTGAAACACATATAATTCAATTTAAAATTAAGGAGGAAAACAAACAAATACTTAGGACTGCTCTTCTCTCCCAAAGATTTAAAGTATCCTTTTCACCAGGGACTACTTTTTAACATTTTAAAAACTCCAGCCAATGTCAAAGTCTTCTCTGAAGTATGGAGGCAAACCAATCTGGACCATGCCAACTATGAGTACAATATCCTTCTTCAATGAGTGTAGACATTGCTAATTGAAATCTACTTTTGTGAGGATATCATGTGAGTTAAGGTTAGATTAGTCAACTGTCCCAGCAATATAGACAGATAACTAGGAAACCTTAGATAAGTCACTTCACTTCTTCACTCTCTCTATATTCTATATCCTCATTTTGTAAAATAGCTTTGGCCTAAAGTTTAACAGACTATTTTCAATTTCTATTAGTGTCACCGAAATGATGAAATGATCAAGTTGGAATGAATATATTCATAACTGCTTTCTTCTTATATTATAGTTTACAACTTACATACTATTTTTTTTTCCAAGAGGGATATTCTGATTGCCTAATCTGATATAGGTGCCTTACTCATTCTGTCATTACAGTCTGTTTGCTTATATTATTTCAACTTATAAAATTTTAATAATATATTTAGTGTTTTAGCAAGTTGAAGCTAAATGGGATATGATGACCAGCTGAGGTTATCTCAGAAATGAAAAGCTGACCTATCATTAAGAAGATATTTAATTAGGTGAGGGGAAGTAACGTATTCTAGAGTTTATAACAAATGTAGAAGTAAATGTATGAAAATAATAGCTCAGGGATAGAAGTACACTGTTACAAATTTTTAGACAGTAGATGAACTGATTGTATTATTACCTCAAGATAGATTCAGAATAGTTAGTTGTATGAAGGAATTAGAAAAAAATAATAATAGTAAAGAATAGCTAAAACAACAACAACAACAACAAAAACAGTAGTGGAGATGTAACAGCTAAAAGGCAGGAAGAGAGAAAAGTAGACAATAAAACAAATAAATAATATTTAGCAGCCTGGTAGATTTAGACCAGGCTAAATCTATGTTACATTAAATGCAAATGGTATAAGTATTCAAATTTCAAGGCAGAGATTGTCAGCCTAGATTCAAAAGCAAAATTCAACTATATGCTGTATATAAGAAACACATTTTACAATTATATATATATAAAAGGCTAAGTGACCAACCATTTGTCTATCCGACCACCTGACCAACCAACCAGCTGATACATATGACTCACACTGGCAATTTAAAAATAAATGTTGACTCATGCATGCACAATACATATAAAGCTCTTGCTAGTGCCAATTGCAATCATATTTTAATTTTACAATACAATATTATGTGTATTGACATGTAATATTTTTGCAGTAACATAATTACCATATGAATCTTTCTTCTAAATAGAGGACGTCTTAATCAATCAATTAATAAGCCAAATTTTGGAGCTTTTATTATGCTAGAGGTCTCAGAGGAATTGTCTCTCAAAGTCTGAGCAAAGAAACTTGGAGGAAGTCTTCCTTTATACCCTTCCAGTTTCATTGTCTCCCAAATATGGGATGGGGCTTCCGGACCTTTTGCAGGCTTTACAAAGAGCCCTATGTGTTGAGAAGAGGGAAGTGAGACCATATCTCAAGGCCTGGCCTGGCACCCTGACAAGCCCATCGGGCTGTGCACTATCCATGGTTTATGGCCTTTCTAAAATGGGAGCAGCACTAAAGTAAATATGTCTTCCAGGACTGGACAGTTGAGAGCAGGCAGTGACTAGACTATAGGCTGATAAGAATGTACATTGGGTTATTTGCACAGATTCAGATTGCCAGCCCTCCCCCCAAAATGTCTTATCTCCCCATTATTGGAGCAAGCATTCTCATAGAAGAGAGAAA